TAGCATAATAAGAGACTATGTTTCTACCCAGGGGTGTGCAATAGACTTACCTCCACGTGGTGCACCCTGGGCAACGTATACTCATACGGCAAAAAGTCTATTAACCGGCAGCTGACTTCTGACTTCAAACTACCATGGCCCGACTGCTTGCCATATTCGACCCTTTCACAGTACACATCTTACCTTTTTCTCTGCCTTTGTGTCTGTCTGTCTCTTCTACATCTGTGAATCGCTCTTCTGTACCCCACCCTTCGACTTTCTTCTACTTTGGTGAACCTTCCCTCTGTGAAGCCTGAAGTCAGCTAAATGGCCAATGATAGCTATCGAAACGCCTGCCATTTGAAATAAATAAATGTTTCTACCCAACCCATCCAATCACCCGATGGTTTATTCTGCAGATGTAACTTACATAAATAAACCATGGGCTATTGAATACCAGGAAGAAACATTGTAATGGCAAGACCGAACATTGTGTTGTTTAAAACGGTCAATAAGCACAGTGAGTTGCACAGTTGTATAACCCCGCAAACCAGGAGAAGAATAATGAAATTTTATTTTACTCGTTGAGGTAAGAGTACATGACTCGCAACCGAATGTCAAATGAATTAAGACTGCCTGACAATTTAATTTTAACCACAGAATCATCTCAAGTTCTCCCAATAATTAGTTGTTGTATTTCCAGTTGCTTCCAAGAGGAAAAAATTGTGTTTTTTGTGTTACCCAACGAAGGATAATGCATTCATTCGCCACCGGAATCATTGTAATAGAAGAGAACCCTTACTTTTGTGAACAATCAATACGTGCTTTCTGAGGTAAGGAGATTTGGCGAAGATTTTTAAACATATTTCACACTTGAATTCTATAAAATAATACAAAAAATCAATGTTAATTTGGTATATCCGCTAAGTCGTTTATGGGTAAAAATTATTGGATAATAGATTGTCAAATCAGTAGTGACATTCAACCCAATCAATTTGGAAGCTTAATTGACTGGATTCAACCTGGAGGGTACGGTAAGCAGCTCTATAATGAGTCTTTACACACACGCCGAGATATCATTTGCACGATCGATATTGTTGCCCCCGATAGTTTGCATGAGAAAACGCCGATTCACGTGCAGTTCTTGATAGTTTTCTACTTAAGAAATAACGAATGTGAATGCCTCATTATCGATTAATCTGTCTGTGTAATTTCCGAACGAACTCCAAATACTTCCTAGAGAATGAGATTTGTTTTAAAAGTAAACCCTTACATACGTATGTCATAGGTTACAGGAATAAATAAAAACAAACGCAGAACCAAAGGTCCGCTCATTTAAAACCCACTGAATGGACCACACTGTTATTTCGGCTGCACCTACCAATCGAGTTGCCCTTCAACTAGTACTGTCCTTGGATCTCATTTATTACAATTTTTCAACAAAATGCTCGTCATGTACGTAGCAATAGCTGTTAAATGCATTGTTAGGACAGATTGAACCGATCTCCTAGAGTAGCTCTGCTGTCAGAAAGAGAACTATTTTAGAAACAATGCAAAATAGGAACATAATTAATAATTGGGCTGGTTTCCTATTTAGAGTTGAATAATCTTCAGATTGGCAATTGAGGTTAAAAGACTAATACAAAGATGCAGAACAGTGTATGAAATAATTTATTAGTATAACCACCTATTCTGACACTTTAATTGAATTTTGCAAGTTGTTTCAGTTAGCAATGTTATCCGTACAGCAATTAAACCTAAGACTCGATAAATTATACATCAACAAATAGATAATTGCATCTATTAGCAAATTTCAAATGGCATAAAATTCCTTCACCGGAGAGAAGACAACTTTGCATAGTCAACAATTGAAAGGTACAAACAAAAACGAAATTGAACTTAAAAGTTCCACAACAAATTCTACACATTTTATGAGCACACAATCCACCTACTGGAAGATGCTATTAATTTGTCCTCATTCGAATCTGCACCTGTGGTTAATGCACTTATCTACCAATCCAGAGATCCCGGACTTCGTACCCACTATAAAAAAATATAAAAGCTATGACTTACCTTTGGTAACCGGTTCTGTTTTAGTGCTGCTGGCTAAAGCAGAATGCACTTCGTCAAGCTCGGCGGAGACAAGAGGAGGTTCTACTAAGAAGGAGGAACGAAAGGTACCAGCATGACTAAATTTGAATGAAGTTATATTTTCGCAAAGATATGGGAATCCAAAAATCAGGCGTTGTTTTAATATTTAAAGGACGAACTTCTACCAAAATGTTATATGTCGATATTACTTAAATACACGATAATAAGCGCATATATAAATAAAGATTGCACAATAAAAGCACTCTGCGACAAGCCATAATCTAAAAAGGCTTATTAATACAAATTATTATTTTTAAATAAGATCCAACAGCAGGTAACGTGCATACATGTATTTGAGTTAGAGTACACTCAATATCAAACAGCATGTCTTCTCAATTTCTAAAAAAGACGCATTTTCAAAGCAGAAAAAAGGTAAAGTATATACATATCTAGGTAGCTACCATTTCCATTTAAGCTTACCAGAGTCAGACATTTCGACTTTGAAAACTTCGACGGCGATTTAAAATATCCCATCAATCCTTTAAAACTGAAGGTCGACCAACATACTATTCGTGTTTAATTGAATTATATTATTTTAAGTACTTACTACTTTGTCAATAAAAATTTAAACTTCAACAAATGTCATATTTAAAATTAAATCTAATGATTAGCTCTATGCAATTAATGTGAGCTTTTCATTTTAAATTTTGTAACTCTCTAATCATATTTCCCCTGTTTAATCATTACAGATTAAATGCTAAATTTCAAAAGATATTGTGGGGTTAGCTTTTTCTTCTTTTGCCATTTTTTGGCATGTGTAATTTACGTCGCCAACAATGCTGGTCAATCGAATTTCTCCTTTCCTGGCAAATTTTAGAAATTCTGAAACTGTAACCAATAGAATATTGAGTAAATTCGGGTGGGTAGTTTGATGCCTCCAAGACAATTAACGAACAATATTCGCTTAGCTTGGCGTATATTAAGCATGACGTCACGAAACATACCCCCTCTTTACACAACTTTGAAAGAAACCAATCTACTTTTGAAGGTAACATTTGGTAGGAACTCTGTTAGAAGCTTATTACACACACCTTGGACTTAGAAGAGTATTAATAAGACTTATTCAAACGGATATTTTGTAATACATATATACAGTTGTTTTGGATAAAACTGGGAATATAGGCAGTCTTCCACCATACTTAATAATTAAATTCCGTAGCTTGGATTGACTAATCTTTTAGATATCAATGAGGAGCAAAAAAGAACAAAACTAGGACATGAAATACTTATATCCATAATATCTATCGTTTTACAGATTAGTTATTTAATAATCTTAAACTACAATTATAGTGACTGAAAGAAACTTCAAATAATTTGAAAAATAGTGATAAAACATGTTGAGATAATAATTCGATATTTCAATCTATAGATTAAATTTCCATGGGCACAAGAGCACATAAATTGATTCACCTGCAAATAATTGGTGCTCCAAATTAGAGCTAAAATCGGATGAAATATTATTCAATTTTATTAAATTTGAATTGAGATTTGGAATATTTTTACTCCTTATTTACGTTCGAAAATTGTTTTAATAACACAATTAGCTTTCCTTACTGCTATCTGGGGTATCTACAATATAAGCGAAATGAGAAGAGTGTTGATGCCAGTTATTGAGCCAGGTATACTTTAAACAGTGACTGATTGTGTACTATTAAGTCTAATTACCAGCATTCGTCATTTAAACTGCAGAAAAATCAAACAGTGCGAACGTAACGAGGACCAATTTAACTGCAACGGTTGCTCAAGAGACTGTCATTATGAATACGAAAACAAAGATGCTTTTATAAATTTATAAAAAATAGAAAATGATTAGAGATATGATCATTCTAGAGAATCAGCGTGAACTACGTTCAGATTCATTAAAAATCTTAGTTTGCTTCCAGCTACAAATTATTACTTTAAGGTCACTTCTTTTAAGAAAAAAATATTGTAAATACAAAACTCGGCTTCCTGCGTTCCATGATAAAAGTAAACTCATACTGAGTGTATTTTAGAGTACACTAATTGCATGCCAACAAACAGGTTTCTGTTGAAGAAGTAGAAGTAGGCGCACGACTCTACAGAAGTACTTACGCTAGCACGCGTATTGGAGCAACAGGAAGGTAACATACCAAAACATAATCATTTTCAGGTCTCCTTCTGCAAAAGGCGTGCGTGTGTGTGTTATTATTACTACACTTATTTAACAATCTTCTTCAAACTTGATCAAATAGATCACTGTTACCTTTTTTAAGTCGTAAAGATATTTCCTATATATGCATATCGGCCATGGTTTCAAGACCGAAGTATTTAATTAGGGCACATTTCTCTCCTCACTAAAGGTTATTCAAAGTGCAATACAACGTCTTTTGATTGAATTAATGATTTCTGTACAAAAATAATCGATTATTACATATGTCTTGTGTCAATTTATGTGCAACAAATATCCTTTATTATTTAAGTAGTATTACAAAAAAACCAAAGTCATTGACCCAATGTACCGACACCGAAAAAATAAGATTGAAATATTGAAAATCTTTCCCTCTCCCTTTGATCATAACTGGAGCACGTTGTCACATTCCCAGGAGGTACTCATTCCTAGAGCTGTCGGGGATGCTGACTAGTCGGGTTGCACTGTTTCTGTAATGGAGAAAAAATGAATTCAAGAATGCGACTCAAATGAACTTAAGTAGATTTACCGAACACCAACATCGATTGCTGTAAAGATGAGATTGGTTGCAGGCTAGGTGTCAATTGTAATTGGGCTTCCTGTATTTCGGTGGCATGGGAGTAGTGTGAGATTGTAGAGGAGGGAATGGAATTCGAAATTGAATGGAGTGAAGGTGGCTGAGTCTGACATTCCCTACTTCCACAACTTCCATCTTGTAACTTCTTTCTACGGCTTCGACCGGATCGTGGTCTAACGCGTTGCTCGTCAACAAATTTGCGACACCGTCGAATGGAGGAACCGTTCTCGAACATTCCTGTAGCTCCTTCATGCAGAGTCCAGTAAGCACCCTTTCCGGTTTCTCCTGGAGGCCTTGGAACTTTTTTGAAGCAATCGTTGAAGGAGAGCGCATGACGAACTGAATTTTGCCATCTTTGTGTCAATAAAACATATAAATTAATTACAATTTGATATGAAAATTTTATTAGTCGTACGGTAAGGGAAATTCCGTTTGACAACAGCCTCCAAATATTTGTTTGAAAATAACTTCGCGAAATTTAAATTTAAAATAAATAAGCATTTAGAAAATTATTGATTACTAATGATCCTGAAAGAATTTAACAAAATAAACTCCGAAATGTGCGGCATTTGCAATTTTTGTGAAAAATTTTAATACTTTCTTGGCGCTGGAATTGGCTTATTAGAGATATAATCTTTTCAAATCCGCTCTAAATGTACTCCATATTCGTAATAGTAAAAACATCATGCTTTATGTTTGCGCGTATGGGGTGTGCGATAGACTTACCTCCACGTGGTGCACCCTGGGCAACGTATACTCATACGGCAAAAAAGTCTATTATTCGGCAGTTGACTTCTGACTTCAAACTACCAAGACCCCACTGCATTTCATATTCGAATAATTCACAGTACTCACCTCACCTTTTTCTACCTTTGTGTCTGTCTGTCTCTTTTACGTCTGTGAATCATTATTCCGTCCCCCTCTCGACGTTTTGCCACTTTACTGTTTATCTTCCTTTCTGTGAAGCCTGAAGTCAACTAAAGGGTTAATGATACCTATCATAACGCCTGCCATTT